TGAGTCGACATTATTGCGCTGAATGTTTAGTATTTCACATATTTGCATGAAATTTATAACGTGTTGTTTTCCTGTTTATAGCACTGTGTCGATACCTTTTCTGGTGGCCTATCAGTCCCCCAGGGTATCATCGGCTCAGTCGTCAGTACTTTGGTACTGACATAATTTATATTAGACTTTCAAATTGTCTTTCGTAAATTTTAAAATTTTAAGAGAATAAAGTTTCAACTTCTTCTTGCAAAACTGACCTTAGATGGATGTGACTATTTTTTTTATGTCCTTTTCGGTCATGTTCATAGCTTTCCAACGGTTTCGGTTCTCATACGCCCTTGGCTTTCGAATATTCTGCTTTGGTCATCCTTGAAGAAAGTAATTACAGAAAAGAGCTAAGGGTGCATAAAATTTAATAACGTGTTGTCTTCTTTTAGGGTATGGTTTTATCCTATTCAAACTAAAAAAAAAAGAATAAAATGCTTACAAGTACACTTATTAGGTCGCTATATATTTTATCTCACAATTAACATTAACAAACTTCTTATCCGGAAGTGCACCCTGTGGATTTCTTTCCTGTTAAGTTTTCTGGCACTTCTCTAACTAGACAATTTAATGTCACTGTGAATGTGTTGTGTATGCATTACCAAACTGTTTTCCGTAAAACGTTTGCAACAAACATCACATTGAAAATAAGTCTTAAAAGATGATTCCACTCGTATATGGTCTACCTTGTGATTGCAAGAACATTTGTTTATTTGTTATTATATATCGAAATGAGGCCTGACGTCAGAAGAAAATTTTAAGAATGATGAGATATACGATGCCCCGATTCGTTTCAATGTCATTAAGCTGTATTTAACGATTAATGAACCATGACTCATTGCGCAACGCTATTCAAGACAACTAAGTACATTCTGATGGAAGTTTGATCCTTGCTTATTTCAATACAGTCATACATATTGAAAAATGTTAAGGATGTTCGCTATTCTGTTTCAAAATAACAAGCTTTTTTAAAGACTGTTATAAATTGATAGTATATAAATACAGGAACTGAAAAAGCAGACAAAAATGTAGGATCCGTGTGCTTGTTTTAGAGATATAAGACATTGGCGAGAAATAATTCTCTCTAGATTTTTCTTACATTCAACATTGGCACCCTTTTTCTTTCAAAAATTATGAAAAAATAACAAGGATTTTATAGGATTTTCAAATATGGCTTTTTAAACTATTAGAAATAAAATTGTAAAAAGAAAAGTAAGGGTTAGCGGGGAAAAGTTTTTAATGACACTACATGGATAAAACCAGAGGATTCCGAATATCTGGCAAAAATTCAAAGACAAGAGAAGCGAACATCCTTAAACAGATAAGGCTTATAAGTTATATGTATCAGGCGCGTGTGATGATTTATTAATTTGGTGTAGAGAATCACTCACATACTATTATTGGTAACTACAGTTTTATATAATAGTCACAATACACGGATAATCAATCAATGGTTTTGAAAGTAGAAAAAAAGAGTTTACTTGGTTTTAGAATTTGCATGTTTATTTGTGTTTAACATACTTTGTAGGATGGGGATTCGGAGGGTCAAGAAAAAAAAGGGCGATAATCAGTGTTGAATTATGCCACGCATATTGGCTGTTCATCAAGAATTGTTAAACATTAAAGCTTTTCACCGGATTTCAATTGATAAGTTGTTAAGATTAATGATAAGGATTCAGTTGCCTAAGCTACTGTCTACGAAGACAGAACATCAACTCTTAAATTAGTTCCTTTCAGCCTCCATATTTACTGCAGAAACGAGGGCAATAGCAATGGCCCTTCAATTTAATTTTAACTTCAATTACAACAACATTTATTACTGATTCACTTTCTTGTTTAAAGGCAACTGAACGTGTTAAAATCAGAAACTCTTTTAACCTTGTAATTAAAAAAAACTTCATGTTATTATTTATCTTAATACAAATAAAATATAAGAAAAATAATTTCTTTTTGTATGGTTTAGGGCCAGGGAATTCATTAAAACACAGCTGTTGAAAAAGAAGCGACAAATTCTATCTGAGACTAGATATTAATATCTGATATACCATATCCTCATTTTATACTTTGTCATATTTGCCACAACGTTCTGACATTTAGGCTCGCAGTGCTCTTCAATTTCGTGTTTTATTTAGTCTTCGAGACTATTTGACTGGAGCGCCCTTGACGTTTCGTCAGCGATGATATCACCAGCCGAGTAGTAAACAATAAGGGGTGACATGAAATTTCATTAAGATGGTAATTTTTTGATTTATTTTTCGGTTTTTAAAATTTTGTACGACTCGAAACAAATATGGTTTTCTACCCCATTGCCATAGAAGGCATTGGTTGTATTAAGCACAACTTTTCAAATTATGACTTACAATGTGCTTCACATTCGTTTTTGGTTTGAACTTCTAATTTGTTTTATTTTGTGCTACTGATGAGTCTTTAAAGATGAAGCTCGCGCTTGGGATAAAAGGTTATAGCCTAGTATTTCTGATAAGTGTGTAGATATAAGAAGATGTGGTAAGAGTGCCAATAAGACAACTTTCCATCCAAGCCACAATTTGTAAAAGTAGCTGTTTATTAGACAATATGTTTTTAATTTACGACAAACAGACTTCGATAAAAACACTAATAATCTTATTTAACCAGGCACGGCTACATTATTAACATTGGATTAAAGTGTCGAAATGATAAGTGCGCCATATCTTGATGTCACATAGGTCATACTAAAATGACAAAGGAGTAATCTACTGATAAAAACTTTAGCCTGATTTCATACCTCTCAGTCTACAGTTAGAAATATTTTATAAGAATGTCTAGACTTTGACGATACAATGAAAAGAGAATAACATGTTGGATCATTTATTCTAAAGTCTCGGGGCAACCAATATTAAACTTCGTTTTAAAGAATTCAACTTGTTTCATTTAAGTTTGTTAAACAACATTTTAACTCTTTAATTGATGATGGTTTAGTAATTGTTTTATGTATTGGAACAATAATATACCTTATTTACCTATATATTGTTCTTTTTTAAATATTTGCAAGATGATTTCCGTCGTGATATAGGCAGTGTGCGCTGACCCGGCGTAAAACACTCACCAATCAACTAAGTCTCTCTTGTGTATGTCATTAAACAAAGATATAGATAAAAATGTCTACTATCAAAAGGACTGCACTGAGATATAGGAAGATGTGGTATGAGTGCCAATGAGACAACTCTCCATCCAAGTTACAATTTATAAAAGTAAACCATTATAGTTCAAGGTACGGCCTTCAACACGGAGCATTGGCTCACACCGAACAGCAAGCTATAAAGGGCCCCAAAAATTACTAGTGTAAAACCATTCAAACGGGAAAACCAACGGTCTAATCTATATAAAAACGAGAAAAGAGAAACACGGATGAACTACATAAACAGACGACAACTACTGAACATCAGATTCCTGACTTAGGACAGGTGCAAACATTTGCAGCGGGATTAAACGTTTTAATGGTACCAAACCTTCTCCCTTTTCTGAAACAATAGTATAACATCACAACATAGAAAGGCACACTATAAAATATCAATTGGAATGTATTAATGCAAAAACTAAAACTTTAATGAGTGTCAGCTGAAGATAATGTTTAAAACACATTTGGGTTGATATATCTCAATTGGGTTTTATATGCATTAACAGCAGACGAACAAAAATATTATATCGAACCCGAGATTTACTCTACAGACCATTATAAGGACATAAAGAATTATGCATTTATGACAGTGCACTGAAAATCTACAAATATCGAAAAAATTTGGTGTTGATGATATTAACCATTCACTACATTTATTGTGTTTATTGAATCTTTAGATCTTTAAAAACATTTATTTTCGTCTGTAAATTTATCTCTTGTCTATTAATCTTAAGTTGCCTTTTACTGAAGCTGTTAAATCAGTTATTCTTGTGAGACAATCCTTGGCACCTTAAGTATTTTGCATAGCGAAAATTACGGATGAAAGATCTAAAAACTGTTAGAGTCAAAAAGATTGACAAACAATTACATCACTTGTCAAACACATTATTTTGAACAGTTTCATGGTTATAATATAGATACATCGTCTTAGATATATGTGTTTTAAATTTTCATAAGCTGTTTAATATAAACATTTAAATTGACGTGTTTTCGAGCATCAGGAAATAATATAATTTCCACCAAAACAAGAACAATATGGTTGATAACGCCCATATTGGAATCATAGTTCAGTAAATTCAAATGTCAGAAGTCAAATTAGATGCAACATGACTGTTCAAATCTCATAAATCCATAAAAGAGATAAAAATCAAGATAAACAAAGACTGAAGATCCCATGAATTCCAAAATGCACAACAGTATGTGCTTCAGCAGATTGTACATCGTTGTTGCTATGCAAGCAACATCCGGCATGCAAATCCACACTAGTTAAAAATATCACAATCGGTATATTTTATTATTTGTTTTTCTTTTTAGTATTTAGTGGACTGTTATTTGCCTTTTCATTGACTTCGTCTGTTCATTCTGGTTTTTTTTCTAATAATGACTTATGTTGTCGCCTTCATTGGTACATTTTTATTTTTTTACAGAGACTCAGTTGATTTGCTCTTTTGTCATATGGTACGGGTTCTTATTAATTAATACAAAGTGTTCGTGGATTTTTTTTTTATTTTTCTTGGATTCTGTAATTTTCCATCGTCTTTCTTATTATTCACTTATATATCTAACATCTCAACACAAACGACACCTAGAAAAATAAGCATCGGCATGATCGTAAAGTTTAATAACAGGTCCATTCTTGTCGATCTCCAATCATATTATCATAGAATATATAGCCATAATAAGTTTGCTGTACGAAAGTAATCAAAGACATTCAGGAAAAATAGAATTGTAATTTTATGCAAAACTGCATTTACAATTTCTTGGTATATTGATAAATACTTTGTATTAATTTAAAGTTGATTTACAGGTTAGATATGGCCAGCAGATACGCACAATTTTCTGAGACTGCTCAACTACTTGATAGTTTATCTGATGACGATCTTCCAGAAGAACAAGAGAGTGATGTTGACCTTGAGGAAGTTTTGGCTGAGATGAGAGAGTATGACATACAAGAGCCAAGACAGGACATACTACAACATAAAGAAGTATATAGCAACCAATCAGGAAGGGCAGACGCCGATCCAGATTCTGATTTAGAAAATGCTATTAACCAATTAAAAGGAAATGAAAATTATCATGATAAGAGTTGCTCCAATTGTTCGAATCAAAGGAAGGTGATGAATGTCTCTAGTTTCAAGAAAGGTCAACACATATTAATGCCAGGGCAATATTCGACAATATATGTAGACTTAAAGCGAAGACTTAAGAGGGCGTATGACCACCATGCCATTATTAAAGACATTAAAAGTACAATGGGAACATGTATTACAATGGTCCTTATACATTTTACATATAATAATGGAAAAATAGGTGTGTATGAGGAAACCAAAGAGTTTGATTTGAGAGAAAAAGATATATCCATTGTAGATTATATTTTCCCAAGATACAAACCAGACAGAATTATTGCAAGAGCAGAATCCATTTTGTCACTGAGAGACAAATTCAAAAAGTATAATCTATTAACATGCAACTGCGAACATTTTGCAACTTGGTGTGTTGTAGGAGAAGGCGAAAGTTTCCAAGTTCAAAGTCTGAGACAAAAAATTATGGATGTAGTCGCACGGCTATTTGGTGCTGGAAGTAAAATTGCAAAGGGCATACTCCGTTTGCTTTTCATTTCATCAGATGAAATTGCTGCAAGTCTTCGTATGGCAGTACCAGAACTTGTTTTAGGTGGAGCAGGGGCTTTATATTTCATATATTGCCTTTTAATGACAGCATTTCATTTTAAAAATTACAAAAAAGGGCACATTTGTTGGTCTTGTTTGAAAGGAAAATTATTAGACTTATGGTTGACATTTGGAGTATTTGGAGCGACATCAGCTATAACTTTTCTACTCTTGCATTTTGCTGTTGCTGCAATACCTGGAGTCGCCATACCAGTGTTGATTTTACTCATCTTTTTTTCTGTCGCTTTTCAGATGGCTGTTCCAAAACTACGAAAAGCCTTGAGCTCCCCATTTACTGTTGATCGTGTAAAGGTGACAAGCATAGAACAAATATATATTGGTGATGTCATATCACAGCATTATCATCACATTAACCATGCGGGTATTGTTACTAAGGTCAAGATTACAAATGACAAACAGACAGAGGGATATATTGGTCTTGTTCATTATGGGTCCTCTGGTTGGTTTAAAACGAGACGTATTGTTGAGGAATATTTCAAAATTAATGTAGAAACGACAGATATTTATTTATTGGATTGCACACCTTTGTCTACATTTCCAGCGGATGTTGTTGTTAGTCGAGCCAGAAGTAGAGTCGGCGAAACCAAATGGAGTACATTTTCGAATCGCTCAGATCATTTTTCATTTTGGGCGAAAGTTCAACAGTACGAAAATATAATTTTCGAGGATACTTGTAATGACGAAATTCAAGGACATTTGTCAAGGGCAGAAGCGACACTTTTAATAGACAAGAGAGAGATACATCATATAGAAGAACTACAAAAAGGTGATGTTGTAAAAGGTACTGAAATTGGAACAATTGATGATACCGGTATACTTTCGTCTCTCAGATATTTAGATAGTTCAGATGGACGCAAATTCGAAATAGAGGTGTTCAAATATGATTTTTGTCGTAATATAACTCGCAAAACATATACCATTGATCTGAACATAGTAAGACTGTACGTGCAAATATATAATCCAGCACTTTGCCAGTCTATGGCGCAACGTCTTCAAAACGCCAGGAACATGGAAGACGAGAAAGGTTCGTGGTTAACGACAAAGGGATTTATTCGATATTGCCTTGAAATCAAATTCAAAGAGAATATGCAAGTAACAAGCTTAGGACAGATATGCATTGGTGATGTCATATTACAGCGTTTTAGTTTTCATGGAATCAAATATAAAAGACATACAAGTATCGTTACGGAAATAGAGATCTCAAACAACGACAACACAAAGGGGTTTCTTCGTCTTGTTCATTATTGTTCTTCTACTTTGTTCGGTACAAGAACGATAGTCGAGGAAAAAGTTGAAGTTGACTTAGAAATGTCAGATTTATATTTACAAGACTGCAAAAAGCCTTCTTTTCTACCTGACGTGGTTGTGTCTCGAGCCAGAAGCAGAGTCGGCGAGACAAAATGGGATATGTTCTCTAACCGCTCGCACCATTTTGCCTATTGGGCGAAGTATCAACAATACGAAAATGAGATTATTGATGAAACATGTGATATAGACGTCAAAAAATATTGTTCAACAACAGAAGCACCACGGTTTAAAGAAAAACGGGAGATACATTGCATAAAAGATCTTAAAAAAGGTGATGTTGTTCAAAGCGACGTAATCGGCAAACTTGATAATATTGGTATACTTGCGTCAGTTACCAGTAATAGCTGTGATAGTTCAAATAAAAGCAAATTCGAAATAGAAGTGTATACGTATAATTTTTCCTGGAAGGTATCTCGTAAGAAATATACCATTGATCTAAAAAGGGACAGATTGTACGTGAATGTATATGAACCTATGAAATATCAGTGTATGGAACAACGTGTGCTTAACGCCAAAAAGGCAGAAGATCATGAGGGAAGCTGGTGGACCACAGAGGGATTTATAGAATATTGTCTTGGGTTCAAATCTGGAGATCGTATTGCAGTTACTAGTTTAGATCAGATAGATATTGGGGATGTCATATTTCAGCGTATCTATGGAATTAAATATACGACTCATGCAAGTATTGTTACCGGAGTTAAAATTTCAAATATCAAACAAACAAAGGGACTCATTTGTATAATTCACTATGGGTCATCTCCTTCATTTTGTACGAAAGAGATTATCGAGGAAAATGTTGAAGTGGATTTAGAAAAGTCAAAAATTTATTTATTAGATTGTAAAAGGTCTTCGAATTCAGCCGACGTTGTTGTAAATCGAGCTAGATGCAGAATAGGTGAGACCAAGTGGAATATGTTTTCTAATCGCTCACACCATTTTGCATATTGGGCGAAATTTCAAAAGTACGAAAATGTCAGTAGAGATGATGCATATGATGGAGACTTCAGAATATCATCTGCAAGAACAGAAGTAACACAGTTCAAAAAACAGAGAGAGATACATCACGAAAAAGATCTCAGAAAAGGCGATGTTGTTAAAAGCAATGTAATCGGTATTATTGATACTGGTATACTTACCACAGTAAAAAGTTTAGATGGTTCGATTGGACGCAAATTTGAAATAGAAGTATATAAATATAATTTTTCATGGACGGTTACTCGCACAAAATATACCATAGATCTTAAAAAAGACAATTTGTACGTACAAGTATACAATCCTTTAAATTGTCAGGCAATGGATCAACGTCTCCAAAATGCTCAATGTTTGGAAGATCTAAAAGGTTGGTGGTGGACCACAGAGGGATTTATTGATCACTGCATAAAAATAAAATCTTCAGAGGAGGGGAAAGTGACCAGATTAGATCAAATAGGTGTCGGAGATGTCATATCACAGCGTAGTCATGAAAGCTTATACCCAAATCACATGAATCATAAAAGAATTGTCACTGAAGTCAGGAATATAAATAGGCAAAACACAAAAGGGTGCATTCGTTTCGTGCATTATGGGTACTCTGATTTAACAGGTAAAAGAAAGGTTGTCGAAGAAGAACTTGAAGTTGATATAGATAAATCAAGTATTTATTTAGTAGACTACAAAACGCCTTCCTTTCCTCCTGGCGATGTTGTTAGACGAGCCAAAAGCAGAATAGGTGAGACTAAATGGGATATAATTTCTAATCGTTCGGATCATTTAGCAAATTGGGCTAAATGTCGCCAAAACAAAGATGAAACATTTCGCCTAAGAAAACAAAGAGAGGTACATCACATGAACGATCTACAAAAAGGTGATGTCGTTACAAGCCGTGTATTTGGGGAAATTGGTAATACCGGTATACTTTCTTCAATGCGGTATTTGGATGATTCAAAAACGCGCACGTTTGAAATTGAAGTGTTCACGTATACCTTTTCAAGGAGAATAACTCGAAGAAATTATACCATTGATCTGAATAAAGACAGATTGTACGTGAAATGTTATGATCCTGAGAAATGTACATCTTTTGAACGACGTCTGCAAAACGCCCGAGACAAAGAAGAAAAGATTTGTTCGTGGTGGACGACAGCAGGATTTATCGAAAATTGTCTTGAAATCAAATCTGGAGATAATCGGAAAGTGACCAGATTAGATCAGATAGACATTGGGGACATCATATATCAGCGTTTTCATGGCATTAAATATACAAGTCAGATGGGTATTGTTACTGATGTCAATATTAATAACGAAGACAAAACGAAGGGATGCATTCATCTTATTCATTATATTTCCTCTGCTCTATTCGGCACAAAACACATCATTGAGGAAAAAGTTGACGTTGATATAGAAATGGAAAACTTATATATACAAGACTGCAAAACCTCTTCTTTTCCACCAAACCAAGTTGTTTGTCGAGCCAGAAGCAGAATCGGTGAGTCACAACGGGATATGTTTTCTAAAAGCTCAATTCATTTTGCATATTGGGCGAAATATCAGCAATACGAAGAAAATATTGTTGATGAGGACTTCATTAAATCAACATCAAGATTAGATGTACCATTCTTTTTACAAGAGCGAGAGATTCATCGCATACACGATCTCACAGTAGGTGACGTTGTTAAAAGCAATGTTATCGGAATAATAGATAATACTGGTATACTTTCTTCGATTAAGTATTTGGAGTGTCCAGATGACCGCAAATTTGAAATAGAGGTCTTCACGTATAGTTTTTGGTGGAGAGTAACTCGGACAAAAATTAACATAGATTTAAACGAAAATAGATTGTTCGTAAAAGTATATAATCCTTCAAAATGTCAGGCAATGGAGCAACGCGTGCAAAATGCTCGAGATAAAGAAAACAAGTTAGGGAAATGGTTGACGACAGAGGGATTTATAAGACATTGTATTGAACTCAAATCGCAATGAACACTAACACAAATTAAATATGATGTTGTTTGTACATTTGTGAGCACTCCAGCTATCAGACGTTATGTCTTAGATGTACATACAAATTCGATTGAAATTTAACGGGTTCAAATTTTGTTTTTCCATTTTGAAAATACGATTGAAAGTTTAGTATCTTGTTAAAGTTATGTTCACCTAGTCTGTACTTTGCTTGATGTCTAGTTCTCGTTGTTTTTATAGTATCTTTGATTGAAAGACAGGACTATAAGAACAATTACATCAACTCCTTTATAATCGGACTATTAGGTTTCAGTGGTATTTATAATTATGAATCTGAACAATGGAATTTAATTCTGTTGATTCAACATTTTTGGTGAACTTTTAACTGGTAAAAATGAATGTATAAAATTTGAATTGTGCTAAAAAAAACTTTTTAATGACTTTATGCAAGAAAGTTAAAAAAATATATTGTTCGTGCATTTCATATAAGACGTCAGTTGCTGTATAATCTACAACATTTCAATTATCTATATATTTAACCTAGATATTAATTTGAACATAAAATTTTAATTTAATTTTGATTTTGAATTAATTGAGAAGTATTATGTTTACATGTAGTCCGTGATACTGTATAAACTTACAATTTTTTTCAAATAGGTGACTTACAGGTTCAATACACCTTATCGCTATTTAGTCCAATTCTGGAAAACAGTTACTTAAAAAACTTCCTATTGAGGTCAAGCGCAACAAAATAAACAAGTAAATGAACAAGTAATTTGTTTATTACAGTGACTTGTGAACATGTATCAAAAGATAATGCAATTACAAAGTTTGTATAGGCAATGTTGCACCCGGCCAATACACCTTATGTCTTTTTAATCTCTAAAATTACACAACTTCTCAACCAGTTGAAGTTTTCTGGGGCCTTGTTCAAACGATGTATTGTTCATAAACAGTTCACAGAAACATGTTTAAACCATCGTACACTCGTCAAACAAATCATTTTCAATGCTTTTAATTTGTCTTTTTAAAATTGCTACTTTAACTATTAAAATATTTAACAATGTCCACTTTCCAAACCTTTTCCTCCCTCAGGTCATTGCTTCAATTTTAAAAAGACAAATTAAAAGCATTGAAAATGATTTGTTTGACGAGTGTACGATGGTTTAAACATGTTTCTGTGAACTGTTTATGAACAATACATCGTTTGAACAAGGCCCCAGAAAACTTCAACTGGTTGAGAAGTTGTGTAATTTTAGAGATTAAAAAGACATAAGGTGTATTGGCCGGGTGCAACATTGCCTATACAAACTTTGTAATTGCATTATCTTTTGATACATGTTCACAAGTCACTGTAATAAACAAATTACTTACTTACCTAAGCTACTTACTATAGCAACTGAGTCCAATATTGGAGTGTAGAAAATCGGAATGAACTAGAATGCCTGTTTCTTTAATAGCATATGCAAATGGGTAAATTAATGTACATCAATATTTTTGAATCTCATTTTGATGGTTCAGTGACTGTTTAAAAACAATTATAGTTTGTTTTTGTTTTTTGTCATGGGAATTTCTCACTTAGTAATAGCACAATTTTATTTGGTATATGGGTTCCTTGTAAGGTCTACATGTCAGTCAGACAGCTGATGTCATGGATCAGTGATACAGGTTAAAGTTACGTGATTAGGTCCGTTTCTTAGAGACTATAAGCAGAAGGTCAACTATATGCGGTATGTGGAATGATTGTATGGTGTATATATTGGTCTAGCCGGTATCGTCTGAACTTGACCTCATATTCACGGTTCATTCTGCTTTTGTTAAGCAATATGTCAACTTTTTTGGTGTATGGAATAGTTGTCAGGTGTTCATGTCTGTCTGCCATGTATCAACTGACCTAGACTTCATTTTCTTGGTTCATTGGTCAATGTTAAGTTTTTATGTTTTGGTCAATTACCATATAACATAAGGTCAACTATAATATATAGTGTATGGAATAATTGTGAGTTGTACATGTCTGTCTCACAGGATGTAAGTGACATTGACATCATTGTCATGGATCTTTAAACATGTTAAGTTTGTGTGATACATGTAGTAAAACCTTTATCTTTAAGACTTTCAACATAAAAGCAAAAGTCAGTATAGCAGGTGAGACATTTCGACGTTTGCATGCTCGTCTGTAATTCTAACCCTTACCTCTTGTGGTTTTTCTCTCTAATTATTGAATCCCTTTCGGTTAAAAACAGTTTAAAACGTTTTGTATAAGCATAGGAACATTGCAGTAAAATAAGAAGCAACAGTATTCTATCGATGATCAAATCTCGTAAATCCATTTGGAATATACAAAACACTCTCGGAATCGCATAACCTCAACAAATTGTGTGTGGAGAGTTTTAAAATAACTCAGCATAGATACCAGGCATATAAGTCGTTGCGCCAGGTGAGCGTTTCGTCTGCATTAGACCCGTCAGTAGTGCCCTAGTGCAGTTAAAAGGCAAAATCGAATACGAAGTTGAAAGGCATTACAAACCGAAGTTTCGAAAAGATTATGCCAAATACAGCTAAGGCAATATATGATTGGTGTCGAAAAACTTAATGTATAATTGCCAATGAGACAACTATCCACAAAAGTTCAAAAGAAGTGGATGTAAGCAATTATGGCAATTGTGCAATGTAAAAAAAAAACCCTATCCGTATAGTCGGTTATACAAGGCCCCAACATCAAAAATATGAAACAATTCAATTCAGAAAACTAACGGCCTAATTTATAACAAAACAATTTACGAAAACCAAAAATAACAGACATGAACCAACGACAACCACTGACGTACAGGCTCCTGACTTGGGACAGACACATAAAGAATGTGGCTGGATTGAACATGTTAGTGAGCGCTCAACCCTCCCCTAACCTGGGACTGTGGTGTAACAGCACAACATAAGAACAAAATATAAAAATCAGTTGAAAAAGGCTTAACTCATCCGATCGATACAAACCAAAAAAATATCGACCAATAGCATATTAATGATAAATCACGCCAACAAAATATTGCTGACAGCTGGGCTGACGATAAACGATTCATGATATGCAACCTTTACCTGCAATGTAAATACAGACTCAGTCAAAGTTTCACGAAAAAGATGCAGCCAGTCAATTTTCAGATCAGATAACTATTCTGGTTTACATTATGATGTAAGACTATTGAGACACAAACACGCGTTTCGACAGCCTTAAGACTCATCAGTGGAGGTCAAATCTCAAAAGTTGGAATACAAACTGGGCAATAGGCTAGGGCATGTGATGCTCTCGGGGACGAAACGTACACCAATAGTTGCATCCAGTGATTTTAAAAACTCATCATGAAGCAAACCTTATTGAGCACAAATAATAGTAGTCTGTAGTGTACAAAAAAAATTTTGAATATCATTCCAGAATTGTCATGAATTGGAGCAAATGTTTGGAAATTTTTGAGAATTCATATCCAATTGACACCACTGACTATAGGAACCTCGTAACAATGTATATGAAATCCAAATGTTACTGAAGAAAAATGGTATTAAGGGTTTTATAATGATGCCAAGTATAAATTTAAGACGATATGGAAAAAAAGAGACGTGGGTATAAATAATTGAGACAGCACCCCAACGACAAGAATAACCAAACTTGACCTAATGGGAAACATACAGTATTCAACGGTAACCTTGTGTCTGCACAACATTTTGAGCTCTGAATTATCCCGAGTCTATATAAGTTGTCAGAATTTAACAGGAACCATAACAAATCAGCCATTAAACCGTCTCCATATTGCGACAAGCATTAAGATGGTACATAAAAAAAAACTTGTGACGAGGGTCCTGGTGTTGGACAGGCAGATGATAAGATATGGGTTTTTAATAAGCTCGTTTTATTATATCTGAACCCTTATTTAACCCCAATTACTTATTGAACAAAACCTACATATAAGAACATACAATTAAAATGTGTGCGGATCGGAAAAGCAAAATATCTTGAAAATACTAGATTAAATGATGCTAGCAGTTCCTGAAAGTAAGCTGACAATGCAAACCATTCACCGCACATTTTGAGTAAGATAACAAAAACGTGCCTGTTTTTAAAGAAGACAAACATGATCTATCAATAAATTCCAATCGAGGCACAAGCTAAAATATTCCATAATTTCAGGCACTTTTTTTTTGTAAAAATATATCCTGTTGAGCTAATGATGATGAAAATTTCAAACTCAGAATGGCATTCCTCCTATCAGTATTTTGGTTTGGTAATCAATAGTAATTGGAAGCCCCAGTCACTTTTCTAAAATAAAATTGTTGCCCTGAATCTTTTAAATCTGCAGATATTAATCTGATTTTTGTAACATTTGTTCTATGATAACTTATAGATCGAGTTTGCGTTTCGTTCCGGTTGACCAACTGTTCGCAGAATACCATGTCTTGAAATTTTTATGAAAGTGTACTTGTTTTTATAAGGCAGTAGCTATTATTCCGGCCAGGCTGGCAAAAAGTAAAACATATCTATATTCCCGGCAACAAAATAAAATTGCTTTTTGATACTATGCTTATTCTGACCATAAATCAAATACAGGTGAGTCCAGTCTAAAAAACAAAAAGAAAACTCATAAAAGAGCAATTCAAGACTCGTTTTTGAGTCTGAATAATGTTTCCTTGTAGTGTGACATAAATTTATGTGGACTATCATCAAGTTAATTTACTCATAGACAATCTGTGCATACTGATATCATATTTACATGTTCTCGTTCTGTAAAAGCATGTAACAGCTTCTACTGTCATTAACAGATAACCATCCCGTCATCGTCATCACTATTATCGAAATGCGATTGTAGTGATACATTTTTACATGTCGAATATGTCTTCTCTATAGTACCTGTAATTTATTTTCACAGTATGTTTTTGTTACAACTGTGGTATGTTAAACTGAAAGAAAAAAATCCATACATCTCTTTCATTTTCTGAAACATAATTCCCTGAATGCCTTCAAAACATGTACATTCGAAAATTTTGCAACTTCCCCCATCCGGTTCTTTTGATAATAAGAGAGCTAAAACTTGACTTCGTTTGTTCGAAAGATATGTCTTTTCAGAGACAAAATTATAAACATTTAGAAAAACTGCATGTATAAAATTAACTTTTTCAGTTATATAACGGTGGCATGTTGCGGGAACAAATTA